TCCGCGCGTGCGGGCCATGTCCACCTTCTGCTTGGGCTTGGCCGGCCGCGCTTCAGCACCTGCCGAGCCGGACAGCGCCTGCTGCATGGAGCTGCCCGCCGCGGCCGGGGACGCAGTCCGGAATCCCGTCATCGCTACCGCCGCCGCCCTCGTCTCCTGCCCCGGGGAGCTGGAACTGGCGTTAGAGGAGGAGCTGGCGCTGCTGGCGGCCGGGGAACGGCCGTCTGATCTCGGGGAACATTCTCAGGCCGAACTGGGGCCTCCGGCCGAGGCAGCCGGACCGCAACCACTGCCTACCCAGGACCCCGAGCTGCTGTCGGTGATCCGGCAGAAGGAGAAGGATCTGGTGTTGGCGGCCCGGCTGGGCAAGGCACTGCTGGAGAGGAATCAGGACTTGAGCCGGCAGTACGAACAGATGCACAAGGAGCTGACCGACAAGCTGGAGGTGAGGGACCTCTCCCTTCTCAGGATGGGTGGGCAGCTGGGGCAGCCCAGGTAGCCTCCATCACCGGGCAGCTTGGGGAGCTGTACACCCTCCCCCATGTCCGTGCTCGCCCTGCCTCGAAGAAAATCATCAGGGAAACGGGAGTAGGATGGAGTGTTTGTAATCATCAGATCAAGGCAGTCATTGAACCCACCTGACTTTCCCACCCTGCTCATCGCTATGGGTCCGTGCACGGCTCCCACTGCTGAGGGCCGTTCTATATATGTACTGTACACAGCATTTAAAATAGAGCTTACAGTATGACTAATTTATACAGCACCCAGCCGATGTCTGCACACACAGAAATGAGAAAGTCGGGAAGCATTTAAATTAGGCTCCAGGTTTTCAGGGAAGTAGTTAATCTCTAATCAGGGTGTTAGCCTTCAAGCTTTGCAGTTAGGGCTTTAAGGCCTCTAGATGCCCTTGTCTTAACTCCCTGGCAGCTCAGAGTTGTGGGAACAAGTGCCCCTAAAAAGGAGCTTTATATAGCCTGCAAATACTCAGGGATTAGGGAATGTAGTTCTATTGCAGAAATCAGGCGAGGCAGGGCTCAACATGTGACCACTAGTAGTGGATTTAATTTGGGCCTCGGTAGTTACGTGTATTTAAGTATTACTTTTTTTTTTTTTCTGGGTTCTGGCTCTCGGGCTCATACAGTTGGATATGAAACCTTATTATTTCCAACCATTGTTATAAATAGACCATTTAAAGTAATCGCTAGTATTTCTACCAGAGCTATGTCTGTCTTTCTTGCTTTTACCTAGACAAGGGCCTTGAATACATTTTTCTCTCTTTTTTTAATGCAAAAAAAGAGAGAGAGAAAGAAAAAAGGGGAGAGTGGTTCATTTATGGCTGTGGAGACGTTATTTTTACTCAGTTTGGCTGTGACCAGATCTTATAGTCTTAGTTACAAGTAAAGAATACAGACCTAAATAAGGTCTTAAATTGACCCTAGTGTTGAACAGATAGAATGTGGTTTCAGAAACATTTCTGCAATAAGATTTAACTGTAAGTCAGCAATATGTCGAAAGTGTAATGGAGGGGAGGGGGAAAGAAACCAACCAGTGTTCTATAGTTCAGTTGGCCTATTAACTAGTTCTGCCAATGGATGAACTCCTGAGATATGTCTCTGAGAAGTTGTCTGTGAAACTTGTGTGCAGACTGCCAAGAAGTAACCGAATGAATTGAATTGTTTAATTTCCACTTGAAATAGAGGTCCATAAAAGGGTTTTTTTTTTTCTAAAGAGATTCAATTACAGGACTCTGTAAAGAAGTACTACGGTAGAGATTTTTACTTGTGATTTGAAATTCCTTCAGTGAGAGACTTGATTGAAGAGACAACAAACTTAAAAGGAACATTGTATCAGTTTGATTAGTGATAGATTTCATAGTAACCCTCAGTGTGAAGTTACACACATCCTGGTCTCCATGTGCTGCCTTTATAATTTATTTAACAAAGGAAAAAGCTTTCAAAATTCTACTGCAACAAAAAAATTTATTGTGAAAGCATAAATTACCTTTGGTACTTTGTAATTGACTTGATGGTCAATAAATATTGAAGATCTCCTATTCCTTTTCGGATCAGCCCATCCATAAACTCTCATAATAAAGATTTATTTTTAAATTCTTGAGAATGGCTAACAATATTGTTAATATATATGGCAAATTAGATGTTACATATAAAACATTTTTAAAAACTAAATTTAAACTAACAGTTTATGCTATCTAGTTCCTCTAGATGTATTTGAAAACTATAAGATGTTTGTCTAAGTGTGTGTTTTTTAAAGAGGAGATGGAGTCCTGCTGTGTTGTCAATGTTGACCTTGAACTCCTAGACTCAAATGATCTCTTGCCTTAGTCTCCTGATTAGGTGGGACTACAGCATGCACCATGGCACCCAGCTCTTACTATTTTTTTTAGTGTACATTTAAAAATAGCTTATAGGATATTGCCATTAGCTGCTTTGTTGGTGGGTTCCCCCCCCCGGTTGTTTTGTTTTCTCAACTGTGCTAGAGATCAAATGCAGGGTGCAGTGCAAGCACTGAACTACTTACTTCCAGCTTTAATTGTGAATTTTTAGTGTTGATGTGAGAGTAACCTGATTTTCACTAGTACTATTTGATACTTACAAATGAGTTTTCCCTTCAGTATATTTTTTGAGCAACTTAAATTTTAGCATGTCTGATACACAAAATGCTTCCTAAAGTTTAACACAGCTGCTGTATTTTCAATTAAATGTTTGGGGGTAAACAACCCTTTAAAGAGGATTTGTTATTTTTCAGAAATTGTCAGACATTGCGGTCAAACATATTTTCTCACAAATTGGTAGGAGTGGTTCCTGGGCATGGTAGCTTCATAATCCTAGTCATTCAGGAGGCTGAGGCAGGAGGAGGCCGAGTTTGAGGCCAGCCTGGCAATATAATGGAATTCTTGTCTTAAAAGAAAAGAAAGAATAATATTAAGTAGTCTCAAAGAATAATGGCTTCATTGTTCCTTTCTATTTTAAAATCCACACCTTTCTAACTTCAGGTCCAGTAAGCCATTTTCAGAATCTCTCATACCTTCTTATGAGTTTATATTGAATATTTGTTCAGTTCTGTGCACCAAACCTAAGATCTTTTTTTCTTTCAAACATGAAGTACTTAATCCTGCACTACTTTTTCATTAAGGCCATAGTATTTAAGATCTCTAATAGTTGAAAGTTTGTAATTAAACATCTCAGGATTAAAACGAAAATTCAAATTTTAAAAATCTTGAATGATTTGGCCATTTTTTTCAACCTTGTGTTGTCTAGACTATATTATTCACTAAATCAGATTTTCATATGGTTCTATATACCTCACCTTCAGTTTTCTCTTATTAATATATTAGTGTAGTACATTTGCCATAATTAATGAACCAGTACAGATACATCACCAAGTTAATGCATTCAGATCTCCTTAGCCCTTATCTAATTCCTTTTTCTCACATTACCTTTGGGTGTTTTTATTCCCTTTTTATTAGCATATGTTTATCTACAAGAGGGAGTTTTATAGTGAGATTTCCACATATACATACATTGTATCCCAGTCACCCCCTCCACCACTCTGCCTTCTTCCTCCCCTCTTTCTTTTTCTTTTTTTGTAGTCATAGGGCTTGAACTCTGGGCCTGGGCGCTGTCCCTGCACTCTTCAGCTCAAGGCAAGCACTGTACCACTTCAGCCATAGCACCACTTCCGGTTTTCTAGTGGTTTAGAGATCAGAGTCTTAAGGACTTTTCTGCCCAGCCTGGCTTTGAACCATGATACTCAGATCTCAGCCTCCTGAGTAGCTAGGATTACAGGCATGAGCCACTGGCTCCCAGCTTTCCTCCCCCTTTTCTAAGAATAACAATTTAATCTAGTTTAGTTGTTTTATTTTTAAACATGCAAATTTCATTTTTATATGTCCTTAAGTACCACCTAGCTATGATCGTTTTTTATATTTTCCTCATTTTGATAATCTTGACAAATTTTATACTGACTAAAAATACCAAAGAACCCTGGAAAATAAGAACATAGGTAGAACCTCACCTCTCACTTCCAGACATTCTATCTAGAGTTTCCTTTGAATTTAACACTTAAGTGAAAATGTAATTCTAGGAGAAACCTTTCTTATAGTAGGTAAGAGGCTAAATTATGTACAAAAGGCTAAATTATATCTGTTCATTAATAACTAAGTCTTGATTCTGGCAAAGAGTAGGGAATCCTGCAATAGAAAGTTTGTCTCCTGCTAAAGAAATAAAAAGGCTACCAGGTAGGTAGAGGCTCACACCTGTAATCCTAGCTACTCAGGAGGCTGAGATCAAGAGAACTGAGTTCAAGGCCAGAAAGTTTTCTGGAGAGACTTCATCTCCAAAATAACCAGCAAAAAAGCAGGATTGGAGGCATGACCCAATTGGTAGAGCTCCAGCCACAGCTCACAGCCCTGAGTTCAAGACCCATAATCTGCCAAGATTTAAAAAAAAGGGGGGGGCAGATTAAGTTACCAATCAGTACCACCTGCCTTCAGCCCCTCCCCCATGTGGATTGGATTGTTTTAGCTGCTTGGTTGTGCTGTTCGTGGGCAGCTGTTTGCTGAGTGTTTTTAAGTCTCTCTGTTCTTTTTAGAACACAAGCCTAATTTATCTGGCCTCTCACTAACGCTGTGATTGCTGAGTTCTTGCTGTTGCCTTCTGCTCAGTCGTTCATTTTGGAAAAATTCAATAAAACCAAGGATAACAGTTTTAGGATTGCAATTAGCACTTGTTTCTGGATTCTATCTTTATGAAGTTTCTACAGTGATTCTTATAGCGTTCTCATTTTTGGAAGTTCAACAATACCAGGGAAACATTGGACAAAATATTCTCATGCTGGTGAGAAGTGCCTCTCTCAAAGCATTTGTACTAGTTGCATTTCCCACACATACTTTATTATTTGTAACATTACTTCCCACCCACTAGATTGGAATCCCATAAAGCAATAGCCATGTCTGTTTTGTTCATCACTATGTCCCCAGAAAAGTGCCTGTGCCCTGGTAAGCACACAAGAATGGATGAATGGGCTGGAAATAAATAGACAGCAGTTACAAGTGAGCTTGTACCTGAACTTACCTTAATCATTTTGAAATACAGTGCTGTAACCAATGACAAACATTTATTAAGCTGTGATTTAGAGCACTAAACTGTCAATTGACTTAAGACACAAATCCCAGCTTTGCCACTTAATTGACATTGAACCAGTCACTTAACTGCTTCTGTTACCTCACTTGTAAGAAGAGATGGTTAAAGGATCTCCAGGGGAGATTTTTCCTTTCAGATCTTTCCATCTCTGAAGATCTATGGTTGTAAGTCTGATTTACACCATGCATAGTAGACGGTTCCAAAAGGAACCACCTTTAGAAGGTAATATGTGGGCCGGGCGCTGGTGGCTCACGCCTGTAATCCTAGCTACTCAGGAGGCTGAGATCTGAGGATCACGATTCAAAGCCAGCCCGGGCAGGAGAGACCGTGAGACTCCTATCTCCAATAAACCACCAGAAAACCGGAAGTGGTCTGTAGCTCAAGTGGTAGAGCGCTCACCTTGAGCTGAAGAGCTGAGGGACAGTGCCCAGGCCCAGAGTTCAAGCCCCACGGCCGACCAAAAAAAAAAAAAAGAAAGTAATATGTGGGCTGGGAGTGTGGCTTAGTGGTAGAGTGCTTGCCTAGCATGCATGAAGCCTTGTGTTCAATTCCTCCATACTACATAAGGCAGTTGTGGCACAGTGGCTCACAAGGTAGAGTGCTAGCTTTGAGTAAAAGAAGCTCAAAAACAGTGCCCAAGCCCTGATTTTTAGCCCCATGACTGAAAAAAAAAGTAATGTGTATTTTGATTCTAGTACTCACTTATAGATGTTTAACTGTATAATTTACCAGTAAGTTACATGACTTGCTAAATTTCAAGTGAATTCCCAAGTCTAGAACCTCCTACCCAGAGAGAATAAACGTAACATTGTTTCCAACAGGAATGATGTTTTCTTTGCAAAACCAATTCCTTTTGTTGCTCTGGAAGAAGAATATTTTTGTAGCTGTGAATTGGACAACTTTTCCTATGTGGCAGGTTGTTTTATTTTGCTCACTATCTGGGAACAGGGAAAGTTAAAGGAGTGTGAATAGAGAAAAACACGAAAGGCTGTGGAATATTTTAACAGTTTCTCAACCTTCTTCACGTTTTACCCAGCATTTAGAACAAGAGAAACACGAACTGAGAAGACGATTTGAGAACAGAGAAGGAGAGTGGGAAGGGCGAGTGTCAGAGCTGGAGAGTGATGTGAAGCAGCTACAGGGGGAGTTGGAGAGGCAGCAAGTCCATCTGCGGGAAGCAGATCGAGAGAAAACACGAGCTGTCCAGGAACTGTCAGAACAGAACCAAAGGTTATTGGATCAACTCAGCCGGGTGAGTCATAAGAATTGATGATGTAAAATATTAAATGTTGAAATTGAGCTTCTGTATGATAACAGGAGTATATATGGTTTAAAAAAAACACCACCAAATCTGGCTTTTGCTTCCTTTGGTTTGGAGGTCAAGTCATTATCTGCAAGAAATTCTAGATGTCAGGAGCTCAAAGGCATCTTTGACACACTCATAACTAGGGATTCTTCTCATTTCTAAAATAAAGGAGCTGTGCTTAATGATGTCTAATTTTTCTTTTAGCTTTAAAAGTCTATGGTTCCTAAGCCTAGAAAATTCTATCATTACTGGTAAAATTATATTAACTCAGTCCAAATATTAAAAAAAGGTGCTATCCTTTTGTTTTTTTAGATACAGTCAGCTCAAGGCGAGCACACTACTACTGAGCCACAGTGCCACTTCCAGTTTTTTAGTGGTTTATTGGAGATAAGAGTCTCACGGACTTTCCTGCTCAGGCTGGCTTTGAACCTCAATCCTCAGATCTCAGCCTCCTGAGTAGCTAGGATTACGATGTGAGCCACCAGCATCTGGCTTAGATACAGTTTTTAAACTGAAAAATTTAGAGAGCTTTAGTACAGCGGATGACTTGCATTGGTGCTGTATTTGCCAATGTGGTTAATGGAAGGAGATAAAAATCACATCTGTATTTAAAATTTTTTAGTTTTCTACCTCAAGTACAAATTCTTGTGACTTATAAAGTAGTGTCATGGAAGGTAAATTAGCTAGTAATGTTCAAGACTAAAACCATTGCAAAGATAGAATTTGAGGGCTGAATGGGTAGACATTTAATTCAAATATAGAACATACCTTTAAAAAATATCCAGGAGGGGCTGGGAAGGTGGCTCAGTGGTAGAGTGATTGCCTTGCATGCATGAGGCCCTGGGTTTAATTCCTCAGCACCATATAAGCAGAAAAAGTTGGAGGTGGCACTGTGGCTCAAGTGGTAGAACACTAGCCTTGAGCTGAAGAGCTGAGGGACAGCACCCAGGCCCAGAGTTCAGGCCCCATGACCGATGGTAGGGGGGGGGTAATCCAGCAGTGTTACTAATGCCTTGGTCTATAAATCTACCTACTTTGGAAAATTAAGACCTAGATTTATGCCAGGTGTGGTGGTGTACACCTGTAATTGTAATGTTGGGAGGTTAAAATAGAGGAGGATTGTGAGTTTGAAGACAACATAGGTTATATAGTGAGCCCTGCCTCCAAAAAAAAAAAGGCAGTTGTATTACTGTACTTCAGTCCTTTCTTCATGTTGATAATGAAACTAATAAGTTCAGTTAGCAGAGAAAAAAGAACCCTTACCACATTTCTAAGGCTTAGGTAGGGCAGAGTGAGGTTAATTTCTGAATCTTACCTTGGTTTAGTGGGTGACGCTCTGAAGAAGTTTTTTCACTCACTATATCATATGTGTTTTCCTCTGGTCTTCTGAAACAGTTGAAAACCTTTCTGCCTCACAAGGAATTGTGAGGGAAATGCTATCAGTGGAGAAGGGGGAGAGAGAGAGAGAGAGAGAGAGAGAGAGAGAGAGAGAGAACGGACTTGGAGACTAGCGAATTACAGGAAAATATGAGTGCATGTGAAAGGTGAGGAATCAGTGGTAGGTAGAGCTAAAAAGTCTTGCATGCAGGTTTCCCTTCTGGAGAAACCAGTCACCATTTGCTTGCCTGGGAAGCAAGACCTAGACAATCCCAGAAGTCAGTGCACAGGGCTGGCTCTCTCCCAGCACTTCTGAGTCAATTCTAAAACCTTTTTCCACAGTTTGGGAAGGGAATCATTATTCTTGTAAAAAATTTTATGGGTTTTTGAGTCTCTTTGTTCATTTTTCATGTTAGATTAACCAGAGTCTGGACAGATTGATTTATTTGTTCAAATGCAGCTCCTAGCAAGTGTTTTCTTATGAAGACTTACAGAACGAATAAAATAAATCAGAATAATCAAAGGGATATTAAGCTTTCTTGGGGACCAAGTTCATGTTGCAAAGTCAGACTCCACCCTAGTACTTTCTGAACTAGTGAAAGGTAGGTGACCAAAATAGATGAAGGGAGGAAACAAATGCTCATATGTAACTGCAGAGCGTAGAACTGATTGTTTCTCATTAACTGGGTGACTTTTCTCATACCTCAGTTTCCTTACCTTTAAAATGGAGGTAAAAATTAGTGCCACATACAAGTGCTGTAGAAGTAAACATGAGCTAATTGTTTACCATGAGCAGCACATGAGGGTAAGTGCTCATTTTGGTGTTGTTTTATTTAAGCAATGTCTTTATAATTGTCCTATTGCCTGATTTCACTATAGAAATTCCTGATAAGCTGCTCCAAAAAAAATGTAGGAAGATAGCATTTCCACTAGATCTAGATTCTTGTTACCCTCTTTGGATTTGAATATAGGCCTTTGGTGGTTTTGCGGCTTTTTTTTCCCCTTTCTCTTCTTAAGCAGGACATGTCCCTGGGGTTTCCATTAGCAGCAAGTTTAGATTGCATTTTATTATCATTTTATTAACTGGGTATTCAGGAACTAGAGAAGTTAAGTACTTTGAAGTGAATTAAGATTCTCCTAGACAAGATAGCAGCCAACAAAGGTAGTATAAGGCCATGTTGTGCTTTTTTTTGTTATTGTTGTTTGTTTTGCAGTGTTTTTATAAGCATATAATGTATAATATCTGAATCAGAGTATAATATTACAATAATATTTTTGTCCAAAGTATTTTTACATTTGTTTCCTTTGGCTGCCATGGCTTCCAGAATGGTTCTTTAAAAATAACAACAGCGGGGCTGGGAAGGTGGCTCAGTGGTAGAGTGCTTGCCTTGCATGCATCAGGCCCTGGGTTTGATTCCTCAATACCACATAAGCTGAAAAAGCTGGAAGTGGCACTGTGGCTGAAGTGGTAGAGCGCTAGCCTTGAGCTGAATTGCTGAGGGACAGTGCCCAGGCCCAGCGTTCAGGCCCCAGGACCGACAAAACAAAACAAAACAACAGCTGGTGGCCCGTATCTGTAATCCTAGTTATTCAGGAGGCTGAGACAGGACAGGACTCATCTCCAGTTAACACCAGGATCTAGAAGTAGAACTGTGGCTCAACTGGTAGAGCACTAGTCATGAGCAGCAAAAAGAAAAAGTTCACGGGCTGGGAAGGTGGCTCAGTGGTAGAGCCCTTGCCTTGCATGCTTGAGGCCCTGGGTTCGATTCCTCAGCACCACATAAGCAGAAAAAAAGGCCGGAAGTGGTGCTGTGGCTCAAGTGGTAGAGCACTCGCCTTGAGCTGAAGAGCTGAGGGACAGTGCCCAGGCCCATAGTTCAGGCCCCACGACCGGACCCCCCCAAAAAAAAAGAAGAAAAAAAGAAAAAGTTCAGAGCTAGTGCCCAGGCCTTGAGTTCAAATCTCAGGACTGGCATCAAAAAAAAAAAAAAAGCTTTATCTAGATTTACTTTTTTGTTACTAGGTTTGAAATCAGGGCCTCACACTTGCTTATTTGCTTGGCTGATACTCTACTACTTGATCCATACCTCCATTCTTGTTTTTTGCTGTTTTTTTGTTGGTCATGGGGCTTGAACTCTGAGCCTGGGTGCTGTCCCTCAGCTCTTCAGCTCAAGAAAGTGCTCTACCTCTTGAGCCATAGCTCAAGAAAACTTCCATTTTCTAGTGGTTTATTGGAGATAAGAATCTCATGGACTTTCCTGCCCAGGCTGGCTTTGAACCATGATCCTCAGATCTCAACCTCCTGTGTATCTAGGATTACAGATGTGAGCCACTAGTGCCTGGCTTTTTGCTAGTTATGTTGAGATGCAATTTAGTAAAATTTTCTGCTTCAGCTCTCTTTACGCCAGAGGTATTCCTGATCTCAGGCTCCTGGGTAGGTAGGTTTATGGATGTGAGCCACTGGTGTCTGGCCAAAATTGACCTTTGTTGTTGTTGTTGGTGGTGGTGGTGGTGGTGGTGGTGGTAGGGCTTGAACTCAGCCTGAGTGGTAATCCTGACCTCTTTGCTCAAAGCTAGCACTCTTTTACTTCAAGTCACAGCTCCATTTCTGTTTTTTTGGTGGTTAATAGGAGATAAGAGTCTCATGGACTTTCCTGCTGCACTGGCTTTGAACCATAATCCTATCTAGTCTCCTGAGATCTGAGGTGGAATATGCTAGAATTAAAGGTTTGAGCCACCAGCTCCCAGCTAAAATCTACCTTTTAAATATATACAACTCAATGATTCTACAGTGTTTACAGTGCTATGCCGCCATCACCCCCCCACCAAGAGAAATCCTGTATTCATTAGTAGTCACTTTTCATTCCTCATAACCTTGAACTCTGTGCTCTAACTCATGGCCTAATGCATTCACCCACCTTCTGTCTCTATGGATTTTCCCATTCTAGACATTTCATGTAAATGACATCATACCATATGTGGTGTTTTGTGCCTGGCTTCTTTTCACTTGGCATCATGGTAACAAAGTTCATCCATGTTGTAGCATGTATCAGCACTTCATCCTATGTTATGGTAGAAGAATATTCCATTATATGTATATAACATATTGGGTTGGTACATCCTCTGGCAGGTGGACATTTGGTAGTTTCCAATTTTTGGTAAATAAGTCTGCTGTGAACATTCATGCACACATGTTTGTGTGTTGATGGTTCTTTTCAACACTAAAATAGGATATTATAAGCAAATATATTCCATGAGCTTCTGCATCTTCATTACGATGAAGGAAGGGATTGATAATACTCTCATTTTACATCTGGGAAAACTTCAGGGACAGGAAGATACATGACTTGATTAAGTATCTTTCAATTCAAGACTGATTAAATTTTCTGTGCCTCCATTTCAGGACTTCTAAGTCAGCAATTAAGATCACAGACTTTGAAGCCAGACAGCCCTGAGACCAAATACCAGCTCCTAGCTAGGAAAACAAACATTATTTTCCCTTTTGTCTTCTTCTCTTGTTTATGGAAACAACTGTGATAGGTAGTGAGTGTTATGAGGACTAAGTGATA